ATATATATATTACTGTATATCAGGATTTGAAACCTTACACACTAAATGCGAAGCAGACCACTAGGCTAACAATTGTATGGTTGTTAAACAGTGTTATCTTGCAGGATGCTGCCGGGGCCCCTCAATGAAGTGCATTTACTCACACACTCTGAAGCCGGATCTAGGCGGCGTCTGTCCTGCCTGCTCGCTGTTGTAGATAGTGGTGACATTTCCACGCTCGCAGTAGTTGGTGCAGCGTCCCTGCGTGCAACGCAGCCTGCAGATGGTGGGGGTGAAGAGCACTTTGATCCGCTCCGAACCCCCGCGGACGACGGAGGAGCGCTGCTGAGCCACGGCTAGACAGAGGCAGAGGGCAAAGCCAAAGCAGAGCAACAGAGTCAGCCTGTGAGGACGCATGGCGAGCCCCGTTCACACACACATCACACACACACTCACACTCGCAAACCCGGGATGAAGACCGAAACGTCTTTTTCTTGGCTCGTCCCTTCAATATCCCTGGAAAGGACCAACTAGTGCACAAAAAAAAGCCCAATTCCTGTTCTGGCACAGATATGAGGTAATGTGCGCCACACACACCTGTGTGTGTGTGTTTGTATGTGTGGCTGTGAATGTGTTCAGAAAGCTGTTTGCTGAGGAAACCAGAGCCGTCCTGGTGTTTGAAGGAGCTGTTGCAAGCAAATTCTGGCGGCGATTGAGATCGGATCCATCGCCCGCTGATGTCCCTCTCGCTCTCCTTCAGCCCTGCGCTCACAAGCACACTCACAGGCTTCTCAGCGCTCTCACTACATGAGGAGAGAACTTTCTCTGTCATATGAGGAGGAGAGAGAAGAGTGGGCGGCGAAACCCAGGAAACTAGCAGGGGAGAGAGAGAGAGAGACTCTGTGTCTCTGGCATTGCACACGGGGGTGAGGTCAGTGCCGTTTAATGTGTGTGTGTGTGTGTGTGTGTGTGTGTGTGTAGCGGTTGCTTGTAGATGAAGGGAGGGGTGTATTTTTCTTTGCATTTTCAACGCTGTCATTTGGCGAGCTTTCGCTGTTCCCCTGCAGCGTGCGCTGAATGTTTACGAATAGTTCAGCACGAATGAATCATTTAGTCACCTTTGAGACTTTGCTTCTTCTGTGGAACACAAAAGGAGAAATTCGGAAAAATGTTCACGTTGCTCTTTTCCAGAAATTGATTGTGGACAAAATGACAATAAAGCACTATAACATATTATAAAGGGCTATAATTCAAGTCATATGACAGCTTTGTTTGAAGAACAGACCAGCGTTTTGGCCTCTACTATTACTCTACAGTCTTAAAAATAAAGGTTCTAAAAATTTTTTATTTTTTTTTGCAGCGATACCATAGAAGGACCATTATAGATTCTTCAAAGAACATTTCAGTGATCAGTTCTTAAAAGAATGTTTCAAGAACATTTTAATAATCTAAAGAAACATTTTCCACTATAAAGAACCTTTGTGGAATGGAAGGGTTCTATGCATGTTTTTTGGAACACTCTTCAAAATAAAAGTTCTTTATTGGCATCAGTGGTTCCATAAAGAACCTTTAACCTCCACAGAACCTTTCCATTTGAGAAAAGGTTCTTCATGGTGGAAAAAAGGTTCTTTAGATGACTAAAATTGTATTCACACTAAGAATGGTTCATTTAAGAATTGTTCACTGAAAGGTTCTTTGGGGAACCGAAAATGGTTTTGCTATGGCACTGCAGAAACAAACAAACAAACAAACAAACAACAAGAGTAAAATAGTACAAATAGTTTTTTTAAGAGTAAAGGAACAAAAAATGATGGCAATCAAGAACCCACTAGGGGACCTGAGCAAACCTTTAAGGGTGCCTCAAGATGACTTAAAATGATTTAAAACAAGCTTTAAAATGAGCTAAAAGGGTTAATGTGGAAAATCAGTATACATGAGGAAACCTCATGTTGAAAGTGTGATTTCTAAACCTGTAACTATCATGTAACTAATGAAATCGTACAACTCCGTGGACTATTTTATGATGATTGTACATTTTTCCAGTAATGCCAAGCTCTAAAATATTTTATCAGGTAGAAATTGTGAGTTAAAAAATATTAGTAACACTTTATAATAAGGTCTCATTTGTTAACATTAGATATACAAGATTAACAACTAAGATTAATAAATGCTGTAGAAGTACTGTTTATCCTTATTCATGTTGATCATTAGTTTATGTAGTTCATGTATGGTGGTGCTTTGTTCTCATTTTGGAGCTTTATGAAAAAAAGAGCTGTCAGTATTTTCCTCAAAAATTCCATGGATTTCGAAATTCCAAAAATTCCTATTGAGTTCCATTGAAAGCAGGTCATTTAGGTTTGGAGTGACATGAGGTTGAGCAAATGGTGGTAATTTTCATTTTTGGATGAACTTTTCTTTTTAAACGGAGTATAAACCTAATCTAAAACAGGCTTTTGACCAAATAAGCATCTGGATCCACACAAAGTCAAAAACTCCACAAAGCAAAGAACAAACTGTTCAGAGCTTTTAAAGGGATTAGTTCTTATAAAAGATGATGCCACATTCCTCACAGATGATATGGTTTACCCAAATTTGGTGTCTGAATACACCTGGAGGGGATGCAATCTAAAAATGTTTTCCCTAAACAGCAATGAGAAAGCTAATTGAATTTTGCTCAAGTATTCTGCTTCTTAGACTGACTTCTACAGAGAAAAGTCTTAGAAAATCTCTCAGACTTTGCTTAGATTTGCCAAAACTCCAATTCTGCAACAAACTGTCTCAGATCTCAATACAAAAAGATTTCTCATCATGTTCGTCCAAGATTAAATAATCTGCAGTCCCAATTTATGTCTGTTTTATAAATCAACGATGAATTCATTTATCATCATTTATATTTATTTACCCTAAGGAGTTTCTGGAGTTTATGCCAAAGAAAAAATTTAAAAAAAAAAAATATATATATATATACACACACAGTGGAGTGAAAAAGTCTTTGCCCCCTTCCTGTTTTTACATTTTTTTGCATATTTGTCACACTTGAATGATTCAGATCATCAAACAAATTTTAATATTATTCAAAGATAATCTGAGGAAATACAAAATGCAGTTTTTAAATAATGATTTCATTTATTAAGGGAAAAAAGCTGTTCAAACCTGCCTGGCACTACATGAAAAAGTAATTGCCCCCTATGGATAATGGCTCTAACCGTGGTTCGCTGGAGTCCCAAAGCCTTAGAAATGGCTTCATAACCCTTTCCAGGCTGATACATGTCAACTATTTTGTTTCTCATCAGTTCTTGAATTACTTTAGATCGTGGCATGATGTGTTGCTCTTTAAGCATGCTTCACTTTGTCAGACAGCTTCTATTGAAGTGATATCTTGATTCAACAGGTCTGGCAGTAATCAGGTCTGTGTGAGGCTAGTGAAATTTAACTCAGCCTCTAAAATAATGTGGTTAATCACAGTTCTTTCATGATTTAACAGGAGGGGGCAATTAGTTTTTCACGTAGGGCCAGGTAGGTTTGGACAGCTTTTTTCCCTTAATAAATGAAATCATTATTTAAAAACTGCATTTTGTATTTACTTGCATTTTCTTTGTGTAATATTAAAATGTGTTTGATGATCTGAATATTTTAAGTGTGACAAATATGCAAAAAATTTAAAAAACAGGAAGGAGGCAAAAACCTTTTCACGGCACTATATATATATAAATATATGTGTGTGTGTGTATGTATGTATACATGTATGTACTGTATGTGTGTATATATATTTTTTCTGCCAAAAATATACTTTAAATATGTACTAAATATACAGTATGTAAACAGCGAAGCTCAGTTAAATATATTTTAAATACTTTATATATGTAAACATTAAAGCTCAATTATATAGTCTCAACCTTCAAAAAAAGAGCAATCATTATTTTGGGCATTGTAAAATGTGTTTCTTACATTTTATTTTATTTTTTTGTTTATTCAAATGCCCTATAAATGTTTATATGCACAAAACATTTTCTTCAAATGTGAGACTATGTGAATGTATTTTATTGGATTAAAATATACGGAGGGCAAAATATATTTTTAAATGCTTATAAAACATACATTTCTATTTGTAAAATATATATTTTCAACAAAAACGGCTACAAATATATTGGTAGAAAATATATTTCCATATATAAATTTTTTTGTTTGTTTGTTTACTTGTTTTTACATGAAATAGAAATATATTACATGAAACATCACAGAGCAATGAAAGAGCAACAACAGAGCAATGCAGTCCAGGAAGGAGCAAACCGTGGGTTAAATGTGCAGAAATGAAGTGAACTTGATTATAACTCAGACTGACTTGACACTCTTTCAGAATCTGGAACAAATGGGGCTGTTTTGAGCGCAGGAGCCTGAAGTGCAGACGCTGTTTGCTGGAGGAACAGATTTCTCCCCACACACACACACACACACACACACACACACCTGTATCTGAGAGTGGCTGCGCTGACACGTCCCGCAGCTGCTGGAATCAGGCCTGCTGGGACCATAAATTAATAATGCTACCGTAGGGAGGACCGAACCCTGCACTCCTCTGTACGGATGATCTATGGATGACTTCACCCAAACTGACCGCCTACCGCGGCCCGACAACCACATACAGTATTCCACAGTCATCTATATACACGTATCTCTTATTTAAAACAAACAAACAGCTAAAACAACAGATTTTCCTTCTTGATCTACTTTAAAATGACTCCATCAATCATTTGGGAGGAGCTGCTCAGCTCTGTCGTGATGTCAATGTTTTACATATTAATGAGGCAGTAAAACATGCTTTACTATGGCAACTGGTCTTGTTTCCCGTGTGGTTTGGAATGATGTTGAATTTGTAAGCTTGTTGTTGTAAATGATGTCATCATGCAGTACTGGATCACGCACACACTCTCTCTCTCACACACACACACACACACACACACACGCTCACACAATATCATAAATCTCCATACAGTATATTATTACTTTTTTTCATGCTGGTTTGGCAATGAAATCTTCTTTTCACTTTATACTCATAATGAAACTCTTTCAGTTATTCGACTGACAGATGCTTTTATATCCACTGCAACTTAAAACTTTAATCAATACGTGCTGAATGAAACCAGTGACTGCCAGTCAAGCTTCAGAAACATGAACTGCCACTTTCCATGAATAAGCAACAAAACAGGCCTCAGAATTATGTGTTTGTTTGTTTGTGAAAGAAGGTGCTAAACCTTCATAAAGTATTAAAATTCAACTTTTCATGCATTTTAATACTGGCAACCCTGTTACCAAATGCTAAGACATTTTATTGTGATTTTGCAATTTATAAATAAAT